TAGTACTTGAAGAAAACCAACAAGAAAAATATTCTAGAAAATCAGTTGCCCCATCCACTACTTTTATTAATGATGTATCTGGTACAAATTTAGTACTCGAGGTAAATCAACAAGAAAAATATTCTAGAAAATCAATTGTCCCTTCAACTGTTTTTAATGATGATATATCAAATACAAATGTAGTACTTGAAGAAAACCAGCAACAGAATTGTTCATTACAATCAATTGCTATGTCTGTTTTTAATCAAAATCAATCTCTTGGAACTCAAGACGTATCAAATATATCTGTATATAATCCATCTCAATTTGCTGAAAAATTTGACACTTCTAAGTGTCTCCCTACTTGGTCTGCTGAAAAAGAAGAAACATCTTTGTATAATTCAATCCAGTCTGCTGAAAAAGAAGAAATATCTTTATATAATTCATCTCAGTCTGCTGAAAAAGAAGAAATATCTTTGTGTAATTCAACTCAGTCAATGGAGAAAGAAGATACATCTGAAATAATTAAAGAATATCAGCTAAAAAATTATTCTAGAAAAACGATTGGTCCAACCTCTGTAGTATTTACTCATAGTGAATCTCTTGATGATAGTATGTCAAATATTTCACTGAACACTGAAGAAAGCAATAAACCAAAATTTGATAAAACACTGGATTCTGAGGTTCCCGTATCTGTTGATAATCAATCTATTCTTCAATCAGATGTATCTATTCATAACGAAGAAAAATTAATTTCAAAAAACAAACATCAATCTGTATTACTTAATATGATTAGTGATGATAACTTGAATTCACCTTTCAGGAAAAAACCAAAAACATCTATAGTTCTAACACATTCAACAAATTCACCTGTTAAAGATCAATACATTGATAATAAATTAGAAATTATTGATGATATTTCTCCAGAGAATAATGTTAGTAAAATGGATATATCGATTGAACATGAATTTGAAAATGATAGTATAATACAAAATTCTCCTGAAGTCTTAGTTGTTTCAAATGAAGGTAAGAAACTTGATAATATTATTGTACATGATCAAATGTGCGAAACAAATATAGAAAAAATTGTCATGGAACCTAGTGAATCAGAAATAAGTAAAACAAATTTAAATAAATTAGTTAAAGATAATGACATTTTTAAAGAAAATGAAAAAATAAATGAAGAAAATAATAAAAATAATTCTATAAAAGTAACTGACAATATTAGTATGACTAATCACGTTTTAAACTCAAAATCGTATTCACCCAGTTGTTGTGAAGACAACACTACAAAATCTATTTGTGTTAATAATATAAATAATATTACAACAGACCAAACACTTCAAAATAATGAAAAATCATGTTTGGTAAATCGAAAAAGAAGTTACAGTAACAGAGATTGTGCACCTTTATCTTGTTCGTCATTTATGACTAAACCTAATATTTATAATAATATGGATGAAGATTTCAACACAGATGATTTTATTCAACAAAGTCCTATTAAAAATGATGTTACTAACAAAAGCTTAGCTAATGAACAATTAGAAATAGGAAATGAGCTTAAGGAAAGTTTGATTGAAAATGAGTCCATAAAAGAAAATTTGTGTAATGAAGTTTTAGAATTTTTAACTAGGTGGAATGAGCAATTTATTGAAAAAAAATTAGTTCTTGATAAGTGTACAAACAAAGAATGGATTTTTAATGTATTAGACAGTCATTTAATTTTAATAATAACATATTCAAGTATTTCTAATAACTATTCATTTCTTAAAGTAGAAGATATATCATTTACTTCAAAGTCTATTGCAAAAAATGAAATAATAAAATTTGGAATAAATTGGATCTTATCAAAATACAATCCAAAGGTATACAAACAAATATGTTTTACTTCAAGAGATGTAGAACTATTATTAAAATCTCTGTTAGGGGATGTTCATTATATTAGTAAAGTAATGAACAATATGTCTTATGTAAGTGATATATATTGTGTCACATTTAAAGATAATAAAGCTCAATTTGTAGTACATAATATGAAATGCCCATTGATGGTACGCATTGAGATAACATTGTCGAATATTCATAAGCTTTCTATTAAAGATGTGTCAGTCGATTGTTTGTTTGGTAATTTCAACACAAAATTATTGGAAGAAATAATGGAAGATATAACAAAAGATCATAATGTTTTGCAGTCTTTAGTAGAAAAATTAATTAAATTCTATTCGCACTAAATAAATTGACTGATTTATAAGTTCTAAAAATATTAAGTATAAATTAATGTATTTGAATATAAAAATAAGATAACATTTAAACAATTTATGTGTTGATTTTTTAAATTTGTAACTATGTATACCTATCTTCATCTATTTATTTTATTTATGTTTTTTTATTCAGTAACACATGTACATGTCTTATAAATACTGTAATTAATTTATACTTAATAAGTAAATTATTAAGTTTGTTTTTTAATGCCAAGAAAATATCAAAAAGAACTTTTTACCACAGTTGTGAGTTTTAAAATCCTTTATGAATTTTATTTATGTGCTGAACTAAAGTACTGTCTATATTTTAAACTAAAAAATTAATTATTTTAAAATGTTAAAAGTTGATTTGTACTTTATTAAATTTTTGTATAATGTATTTATATATTTCAAGTATCTGTAAATATTAAATTTGTATTGACGATTCTTAAAGTTGATGAAAAAATGATATTTACTTATATGTAATCGATTTTACAATTTTATATTTTTGCTCAGCTTTTAATTTAAATTTATTATGTACCTCATATGAAATTTATTTTATGTAATATTAAATTGTTATGAACTTCTATGTTATTCTATTTTTAACTGACTTTTTTGAGTCCTTGAAAATAGAATGAACTAGTGTATTATATTTGTTTTATAAAGACTTACTTTATATTTTGTATGACTTTAGGTAACTAGTGTTAAGTTATTAAATTAAATTAACTTACCGTGAAACAATAAATTTAAAACAAGACAAGTTCATTTTAATCTATATTTATCGTCGATTTACTTGTGATGTTTTTTTTAAATTTATATGAAATGATTACATAATATTGTATTCTAATTTACTAAAATAGTTTATTTATTTGAATGACTTAAGATTATATAAAGTATAATATTGTTTTATGTCATTAATATTAATAAAATATCTATTGTTATATTTTGCATTTTTAATAAATAATAGTAATTACCTATTACTTTCTGTTAAATGTTTATAAAATATAGATTCCTAATATAGTTTGTAATACTGAACACGTTTTATACTGTTTGTGGTATGAAGAAAAAAAAAATTACATACTACTCAACAGTTTATTTACATCGCATGTACAAAAAAAATATACGATACAATACACAAAATCGGAACTGTTTGATCATAATTAATTATAAGTATTTAATTTTAAATTCTATAAGTAATTGAAAAAAAAAACAATACATTTAACAAACTCTGTTTTTTAAGTTTGCACCATCATTTTATACGATTCATAACATAATTAATGCATTATCTCTTAAATGGGTTTTTAGAAAACATATATATTTAATATATATATTTATAAATATATATATTAATATGTAGATATAATTTAGAATAATAATATGCTAAGTATTATAAGTAAAATAAAACTATTTGTGCTGATTTTGTTCAACTAATAAACATAGCATAAAAATCGAAAAATTAACGATCGTAAAATAGTATAAACACAATGTAATTAATACAAGAGTTAATACTTAATAGGATACAATTAATATTGTACAAATATAAATAAAATATCGTAATAGGTGAGTATTAATATAATATATACCTACTATTAGATTACTCACTTGAAAATAAAAATTACTAAATTGTTACATAATATTTATCTTGTAAAGTAGTTGGCAGCGATATTACTTTCCGTACAGTTTATAGAAAAAAGTATAATACTTCAAATTTTTATTTTAAAAAATATTTATATTCTATAGATCTTAGACTGTATTTTTATTTTTTATTTATTTATTTTTTGTCACAATTGGATTTAATAAATTTTGTTTATTTTTTTTTTTTCAATCAGAATATACTTCTATGCTGCGGTAGCGCGAACAGCGAGTAGTTCGTCAACGATGTTTATATAGCTATTATAGTAAGTTAATAAAAATAAAAATGAGACGTAGATGCGAAACATTGCTTTGTTTCCAACTCTTTTCAAATTAAAAATAATTACTAAATTAATAATAATGCCTTCTACGTATAATATTAAGAAAAAAAATTCATTAACTTAATTTGGCCTAAGCACATTAAGGCACATTTAACTTTCATGGGTTTTAAAATATACTTTTTACACAACAAATAAATGAAATTTAAATGCATTAATAAATTATAATAATACTTGTTTTAGTAACAACAAATTGAAATGTAAAAGTTTAAGATAACTCAAGGCACTTCTAAAAATGTTTAAAAAAATTTAATGAAAATCGTAAACAAAAAAGGGGTATAAATTTAAGTATATATTTTATAGATATATAACATAATGTCACAACATAGCTATATAATATAAATATTTGATTTCAATATTTTATTATTTATTTTATTTTTTTTTTTTTTTTTTAAGAAAACGTGAAATATCATAAAGCTTATAGTTCCTAACGTAAGTATGTTACTCAAAATTTAACACTTAACGCTCATTGAATATATTTAAAATTATTTTAATAATAATAAACTATAATAATTTAATAGCAATATATATATATTATATAATATATATATTTATAATATTTAAGTTATAATTACGGATTTGGTCCTGATTCAAAATGTCCCCTTTTGTTTTCGTGAACCCTTATAAAAACTTGCAAATATTGTAAAATCACTTATCGGATTGCCAGCGAGTGGTTGAGATTTATTAGAAAATAATACCATCTATGCTCAAACCTATTAAACACTATGATATGTATTTTGTTGAAATTTTAAATACAGTGATTCAAATTCATTTGAACGTCAATAAATTATAATTAATGCAAGTATTTTATTGAACAATGCGATGTATATACGAGTAGGTATATACTATGCAATATCTGTGAGCTAGTTTTTTTATTTTACTTATCTAATTATAACGAAACGCTATTGAACGTATAAGAAATAAACAAATGGGTAACGAAAAACAAAGATAAACCATAATTTTAATTTCTTTTGAAACTTATAATCTAGAACAATATTGTTTAAAAATAAAATTTACATAAATCATGGGATTTGGTGCACGTCCCTTAAACTTCATAATTGTTTCAATGTGTATAAAATGTTTGCAATGTATTTGTTTATTCAAGAGTTATCGTTTGGACACCATATATATTATTATGTTTAGTCAAATTATATTTTATTTTAAATTGTTAATTCTTAAACCATTTAAGAAGCTCTACCGAATATATTATTATATATTTTATGAGTGGTTATTTAATTATTAATTTATATTAATATTAATATTATTTAATATTATAAAGATTTTATTGGTTATTTAGAATCGATTTTCGTAGAAAAATATAATAATGTACGTTACGCGCAATCATCCTAAAGCGATAAAATACCTACCTATAAAGACATTTAATAATTTAATTACATCTTAATATTTAATTTTATAAATTTATAAATTTTAACAATATTAAAAAAAAAATCAAAATTAAAATAAAAGCCATTTCGGCATATACAATTCTACATTTCTCGTTGAACGTGACCTACGCGAAATTTTAAAATCCACTTGTATATTCTGAGCAATTCTTACTAATTTCTAGTAGAAATAACATAGTATTTTTTTTTTTTTTTTTGTGTATAACATTAATTAGTTCTACTTAAATATTTTAACAATAATAATACATAATATTCATAATATTATTATATTAACGTAGACATATGTTGCACGTAGACGATTTTGAATCGTTTTTTGAGTTGTTCGGCTGATTTCAAAACGAACGCTGATACATGTTTGTTCCTAAAAAAAAACAAACATGTATTAAATTATTATCTTTTAAACGTCATGTAACGACAATAATCATAAAAAATAGTGGAAAGTGCGTTATATTTAGATAGGTTAGGTCACCTTGCTACCTTCTGTATGTCATGAATCACGATAAAAAAATAAGCATATCTATTATATACCTACCTATAAGTACTATTATTATTACATCATGTTACTCATGTTAACTATTATTTAGCCTTTAGGTGTATAAAATAATTGTAATTATTGTTAGTTAGGTAGTAATGCGTACTATATAATCGCTATAATACATATAACCGATTACACTAATTTTTAAGTACATTTTTGTATTTTTTATAAGTAGTCATAATATACCAAAATTGAAAGATTATTTAAAAATATATTTTTACAAAAAAAATTTAATTTTCTTATTATTTTTTTTATTATTTTTATAAATAGCAAACTATATTTTTAATTTCGTAATCACATGAATGTTTTTTTTTTTTTAAATGTTGTTTGTATTTGTTTAAGGATGTTGAAGTTGACATATTTTTATTTTTAGTACCTACAATTTGCCTCATATGAAAAACTTTTATGCTTTGTAAAGTATTCAGATATCGATAATTTATTTTTATATAAAAGATAAAGGCATTATATGGGTTAGATATTTAGATAGAATTCTAACTTTAAAACTCTAATTTCAAAAGTAAGTTGTAAAATAAATCTATATATTAAAATTTTTTTTCAGTATTTTTAAATGTACTTTTCTGGCATTATTTAAAATTAATACAAAAATCAAAGTCTCATATGATCTGAAAAAAGTTTTCCTGTTTTAAATAAAAAAAAAAAGTAGTGATCAAAATGCAACGACTCTACGATGCGTAACTATTTATTTTTTTTGTAATGTAATTTTTGGTTGTTGAAATAGATAGTTAAGTCTTATTTTTCCATATGGTTTGTTGCTGCGTCGTGTAATTAAAATTTACTGCATTTACGCTTCTCAATAAAAAAATAGTTGGCTCCGATAGTATTTTGAGATATTCGAAGTTAAAATATGTAGAGCTCTAGTAGTTACCTATTTGAGATATTATATGTATATGATGTATAGTATTATAATAAACGTAAAAACATAAACAATTATAAGGAGAAAATTAACGATATTAGGTAAACAGATTACTGTATATCCATGTAGCAGCCTGTACTGCCCTGTATATTTAGTGACTACTAATTTATTACGGACATTGTGCATCGAATCACGTGATAATGTGCTGAAAAATAAAAACGAAAACAAGTTTTTTTTAATCCGTATCGGTTGAGCGGGCGCAGCTTCGGAGTAAATATCGGGAAAATTGTGTTCTAGATTAAGTCGGGTTTTGGTGTGTGTAATGGAAAACGCTATGATAAACACGATTTTCTATCTTGTGGAACAATGTAAAAATATATTTGGGTAAGCAGTATTGTACACTGTAATAGTACACGTATGACTATAATGTTCGAAGATTGAGATAAATAGAGTTTGGTCGTATGCCAGAGGAAAAGTTTATGATTTGGTCATAATACATGCAACGTATCCGTACGTGACTCGATTGTACGCGAAAACCGAGAAAAATGGTGGTGGTGCGTCGCTGTTGAAAATTATTAGTGCGGCACAGTGAGCTTAACATAGCTATACGTTTTTATCTTTTGTATTTTACTTTTCGTCTCATTATTACATTTTCCTATTTTTGTTTTTTCTCTGGATACCTACTCGAATGGAAAACGGGACGTCTATAAGTTTCCCATATTGTGTAGGCATACATATAATATCAAAGTTTCTATACCTAAGCACATACATTCAAATAAATTCTATTTCCATCCTTATTGTTGTTGGATTATATTGAACAGAAACGAAATAAATAAGAGTTTGGAAATATTTTATATTACTTTTTTCATATGGTACATATACGGTACGCCGCGAACCCTACACAGCCACGCAATAAGTAATTATTATTTATTACACTTCTGCCTGAGAAATAAATCGTCACTTTCATCTTGATATCTGGTATACCGTATACGACAAGTAAACACTACATATATATTTAATGCAGACATGTAATATATCATAATATACCTATTTAATATTTATACAGGTATGCTAGATGACATGATTTCGAACTTAAGTTTTTACAATTCATTGATTGTTAAAGAAAAAAAGTAAATTTGTTCATTTAGGTTAGTCGATTTTTTTTTTTTTTAAGCTTTTAATAGCCTATAACTATTTTTCGGATCTATGATAACTTATCTACATCAAATTATTGTGTCTAGATAGGAATACTGCAGATATATGGGATTGTATTATTTCTTCAATATAATATGAATACCTACTTTAAACCATGTTTGAGCAATTCTATTTTTATTTTTTCTTACAAACGGAAAGAAATATGCAGAATAAAGTTTTTATTTGGACTTCTGTTAGGCATTTCTACTTATAAATACGGCTATATTTCTTCTATTCCTTAACAACCAACGTTTTTAAACTCGGTGTGGAGTGAATACCGTTTTCAACCGCACAATAACAAAAATAATATAGGTACATCTAATTAAAAAGTAAACAAGACTGTGCATCTATCTTCGTTTTAAATAGGATGGGTTGAAAAAAAAAATTAATTAATAATTAAAAATAGAATTTTACCTTGTTACGCTCTCGGTGAGGTACGTAAAGACTGTTTTTTGTGTTGAGCATTTTGAAAAAAAAAAACTACTTTATGATAAAAAATGAGATACAGTGAATTCCGTCGAGCTTCCTTTCAGGTGTAAGTATAACGGTGGGTGATTTAATTATTTGAAATAAGTTCCTTATTATATATTTACAGAGTCGCAGTTTTCAACGTGCAGTGGCATAACTGTACTGCGGTAGTATAATATTAAGTTTACAATAGCGTTTTCAAAACTATATTTTATCTACTGTATTTTGTTGGTTGTTTATATAGATTAGGTATATGTATATTATAGTGCTGTACATAAATATAATTATGATAATTAATTAGTTCGACGTGGCTTATATGAATAGATCAAATAGTTATATTTTGGTAATAACCGGGTTTCAAAAGAAAAAGAAAATTAATTAATGAATAAACTTGATTTAGCATGATTTAAGTAGATAGGCTGACTTTAAGGTCAGCGAAATGGAACGGTTTTAATTAACATCATTACATAGATACACATTTGTCGATAAATGACAATAATATTTAATTTGATTATAAATACTATATGGCCGACCAGCAGCTACGTTAACCTAACTGCAGTTGGCTTCTATATGTATATAGTTTCGGAATCGCATTTATTCATATCAATAATGGGAAACTGCTGTCATGTTTAAAAGCACTGTACTACCCTGTCTAGGTGGGTATACATATAATTTAATGGATTTAACGATGGACTGAAATTAATTACAAACGCGTGCAGCTGTGTTATTAAATTCGAACGATTTCGAGTAAAAACCATTTTATACCCACTATTGCAGAACACTCGCATGATTCTCTGCAAAAAGTGCAAAGATGCGCGACGCGTTTCGGTTGTTCACAATTTCCACCTACGAACGTATTAAAATTATTGCTTTTAGGACTAGGTTTTTCTCTTTATTCAAATGTAACACATTCCTGGTATATACAGTAAATTCTAGGTTTTTTTTTTTTAAAGTACAAAGATACACTGCGGTAGGTATATAAGGTACCCTATATAGTATTTTATTTTAATGGTATATAGTATATACCATTAAAATAAAATGTGGAGGCACCACGGAGATAACAAAAGCTAAGGTCGATAACGAAAACCGTCTTATTTTACGATACTGTGGGGTGAGATTAAACACTAGGCGACGACGGTAATCGATAACTTACCTTTGATAAAGGCAACGTAGTACTCTAGTAAACAATAAAAGTAAATAATCTGCGTTCAAACGCATAGTAATATAGAGGCAACGAAGTTAAGAATTGTAATATGATGCCAACGTAGAATTTTGATTTTTTACTTTCTCATCGTTATAATATTCTACCATGAACTAAAATTCACGGCCGTGAGAGTATTAAAATATCATAAACCAATAGTCAAACTTATTTAGGAACTTTATAAGTAATATGTAATTTTTAAAATTTTTTTCTATGATTGATTTTCTAGAAGTAGCGTCATCGAGTTTTATTATTTTACACTGATTTTAATACGCAATCGTTTTCATGATTTGAAAAAAAAAAATAATCAATATTATTGACATAAGTTCAAAATAATGAATACACCAATGTATCTACAATATTAAATCTATAATTAACAACAAAACTAGGTTAGGTTAGGCTTATCCGTTTTAAGGGATCAACCAAAATGTGCGAATAACCCGTTCACTATGAAACTACACATTTGTGCGGGTTAACGTACGTCTACTCGAGAACGAATATAAAATCACACAATGATTAGTTTTAGAACAAACCTACACACACGCAAAGTTCACTGTTAAACTTCAAAATCCTGGATTTTCGGAAAGGTTAAAACGTAAAATAATTATAAGTACTATAATACCTAACTAGTAACACATTTTTAGATACTTATAAATAGGTTACACTCGTATTATATTATATTTAATTAAAAATTAAAATTAAATACATGTCGTCTATAATACCCGCAGTGTATTATCATCTCGTATATTGTTTGAGCGCTATAGGGAAACCGTATAAACATAATAATATTCATTTGATAATGTATTTTACGAGTCCAAGATCGGAGCTATACATAGCGTTTTCCACCGCGATTCTTGTGTCGCGTATTCCGCGGCGTTTTCCGTCACCGGTACAACGGTCTATTCCAATTTAAAACGATGTAAAATTATAGGAGGAGTCCGCGTTTCTATTATTTCAGAGTTCGTCCGCCGAAATAATGCTAGCTCGCAGACGATTTCCGTTCCGGATGGAAACGTTGCGGATCACATCCGTCGTCGTATATATATATACGTATATATATATAGCTGCTACTCCACCGTATAGAAACAACGAATTTCGAATCCCACGGAAGCCGCTGTGTATAACCCTAATTCCCCCCAACTCCCAGAGGAAAATTTGAAGTTGGATCGCGCCCCTTGTATTTTTTTATATTATACAGGGGTGGGAAACTGGCGGCTCGCGAGCCTTTTTTATCTGGCCCGCGTGCTATATTTTTAAATTACATCGTACAACAAAAAAAAAAATTAAAAATTCACATTAAAAACAAAATAAACTCTGTGTGTATACAATATTAATGCTAATAAACTGACCCTCTAGTACAATTGGTTCGAGTTCCCCATCACAGGTATAGTATATATCAAAACATATTCGGGACTTCCTCCCGCCGGGAAATTTATTTTCAGTTACGTCGTAGTTGTTAGCAGACACCTGCACGTCATGAATCTATGACGCCTATTCGCCCCCATCCTCCCCCCCCCCTCGAACGAGCTTCTACTGCGCTCCCGCGTCTAACATACTTTTTATGAAATCGTGCGCGCAACTGTGACAATATCACATCGCACGAGACATATCTCTTACGTATTATGATACGTATTATGTGGGTACATAATTATTGACGAAAACGTAAATTATAGAAGAAAAAAAAAATAATAAAATAAAATAAAAAAACGTAATAATTACCGATGGGCGGCGGTCGGGCGTGGGCTCAGCTGGATGGCTGGATGGGCTCGGGCACTAAATGCGGCGTCCGGCTGCTGATTGGCGGCAATATGGGACTGGTGGGCCAGTGGTAATGGGACGCGCCGCCGGCACCGGTCGGCGGCACGCTGCGCGAGTGCGACATGACCGTCGACCCGTTGCCCATGGCCAACATCATGCCGCCGCCCGGGGCGCCGGACGACGACGGGAACATCAGCGGGTTGCCGCCGACGCCGGTCATGCTGCCCGCTGGCGACGAGACGGACGGCTGCATCAGGCCGCCGGTGGCCACCGCGGCCGCCGATTCCGGGTGCAGGAAGTTGCGCCTGGACTCGGTCGTCGACGACGGGTTGCCGGTGTTCGGCTGGCTCTGCTGGTTCTGCTGCTGCTGGCTCTGCGCTATGCACCGGGTCAGGATCTCCGGCAACAGCTCCAGCTGTTCTTGTAAGGCTACAAGTTTATCTTCGACATTAGCCAAACGTTCTTCAAAC